TACTTTAAATATAATAATCTTTTTTCTTCGAAATAAATAAAAATTTCATTAAAAAATCATTTTATTTAAAAAAATGTATTGAAAAATTATTAGAAAAAATATTATAAATATAATTCATAATCACAATTATTTCTAAAATCCAAAACTATTCAATTCCTAGCCCTTTATCATTATAATATTTCATAAAGAATTCTGCCAGATAATATAAATAAAAAAATATATTTCTTCATATCAAAAATCATTAAGAAAAAATTTAGACTAAATTCATTTAATTCAAGATCGAATTCAATTTTTTCATTTTACCAATTTCAAGAAATATCGTAAAATATCAATAGAAATATTTATATATATTTCTATAATTCATTTAAGGTATTCTAATTCTCCAATTAGTCAAGTTTTTTCTCATATAGAAAATTTAACGCTTAATTGGGTCCCTATTTCTAGCAGCGAGGAAAAAGGTTTGCAAGTGATTTTATCGTTGGAATTTTTGCCAGAAGACAGACAGATAATCATTCACTCACAAACAGAGAGGCACAAACACAAACAAACAGACAGAGATTGACAAACAGAGATTGACAGACAGAAAGACAGACAGACACAGACATACAGACACAAACAAACGGACACAAACCGACGGACACGCACAGACGGACACAAACATACGGACACAAACAAACAGACGCAGACAGACAGACAAGACTGACAGACAGATACAGACAAATAGACAGACAGACAGACAGACAGACAGACAAACACACGGACAAACAAACACACAGACGGGCAGGCGGACTTATCAGCTATGGTGCTCTGCCTTGATGCCATCCAAACACCCGTGGGCAACACTGTTCTGTTTGAAGGATAAGACTTCCAGAGCCTGAAACACCTCCACAGGGGAGACAACAGCCAGACAAGAACAACAAGCTCATGGCGACACGCCGGCCTGGAAGGAAATTATTCTGAACGAACAATCTGGCAGAGCGATGCACACGAACAAAGCTGCTGCAACAACTTACAAATGCAAACATGTTCCGAGTGGGCCGCCTGCTCCATCAGCAAGCGACAGCGGTGGTTGCTGGTGCTACAGAAATCTACAGAAGTCGGGATGTGTTACAATGAGTGTATGGGAACGGGTTTGGGTGAGCACAAAAGCTTTGGACGTAGTTTGATAAGGAATTTGAGAATATAAAGGACGTGTTTCAGTGAGAACGAAAGGTTTGGACGTATTTTGGTAAGGATAAACTAAACAATAGTAATATCTGAAAACAGCAAGATAATCGTTTTTGCAACGATGAAACCGGAGCTGGAAAGCTGCGGCCCGACAGAACATGTGCATCTAACCCGATGAGGTTTGGACGTATTTTGATGAGGATAGAATATAGAGTGCTTGCAATAAAACCGGTGCAGGAAAACTGCGACACGGCAGGAACATGTGCTTTGAATCCAATGACACAGTGGCTGTCCATGCTTTTTAATCTCAGAGCTAAAACAGCTCCTGCTTGCCAAAAGCAAACACGGAGACAGACGCATAGACACACAGGAGACGCACATCGACACCTGCATTCAGAGAGAGCGGCACCGGAGCTCGTGTTACCCAGATCCTGACGCCTTTCCTGTTGAAAGTGTCTTGCGTGCCTGTCTCGCGGCACTGAAATTTCGGCACTCAAATCTTGATGCGCTTCCTCTTGCAAGCCTCTTGTATGCTTTTCGAGCGGCCGTTAAATCGGATGCGTTTCCTCTTCGAAGCCTTTCTTCGGACCGAGACAGACAGACACAGACAGACACAAATAGACGGACACAAACAAACAGACACAGACAGACAAACAAACAGACAGACAGACAGCGACAGACAGACCGACAGACACAGACAGAAAGACACAGACATACAGACACAAACAGACAGACACAAACAAAGGGACACACACAGACGGACACAAACAGACAGGCACAAACAAACAGACAAACACAGAGACGGACAGACACGCAGACAGACAAACAGACTCAGACAGACAGACTTTTCAGCTATGGTGTTCTGCCTTGATGCCGTCCAAGCGCCGGTGGACAACACTGTTCTGTCTGATGGATAAAACTTCCCCAATTTACAAATACAAACATGTTCTGAGTGGGCCGCCTGCTCCATCAGCATGCGACAGCGGAGGTTGCTGGCGCTGCAGAAGTCGGGATGTGTTGCAATGAGTGTATGGGAACGAGTTTGGGTGAGCACAAAAGCTTTAGACGTAGTTTGATAAGGAATTTGAGAATATAAAGGACGTGTTTCAGTGAGAACGAAAGGTTTGGACGTATTTTGGTAAGGATAAACTAAACAATAGTAATATCTGAAAACAGCAGGATAATCGTGCTTGCAACGATGAAACCGGAGCTAGAAAGCTGCGGCCCGACAGAACATGTGCATCTAACCCGATGAGGTTTGGACGTATCTTGATGAGGATAGAATATAGAGGACGTGTTTGAGTGAGAACGAAAGGTTCGGACGTATTTTGATGATCGTGCTTGCAATAAAACCGGAGCAGGAAAACTGTGACATGGCAGGAACATGTGATTTGAATCCAATGACACAATGTCTGTCCATGCTTTTTGATCTCACAGCTAAAACAGCTATAAACAGCTCCTGCTTGCCAAAAGCAAACACGGAGACAGACGCATAGACACACAGGAGACGCACATCGACACCTGCATTCAGAGAGGGCGGCACCGGAGCTCGTGTTACCAAGATCCTGACGCCTTTCCTGTTGAAAGTGTCTTGCGTGCCTGTCTCGCGCAACTGAAATTTCGGCACTCAAATCTTGATGCGCTTCCTCTTGCAAGCCTCTTGCGTGCTTTTCGAGCGGCCGTTAAATCGGATGCGCTTCCTCTTCGAAGCCTCTTTTTTGGGACGTGCTCTCGGTACCAAAATTCGGAAATTTTACTACCGCGAGCATGTCGCAAAAAATTTCGGAAATTTTATGACCGCGAGCATGCCTACCGAAAAATTCGAGAGCTTGTTCCCCCTAAAGCTACCAAAATTCCTAAAATTTAAACTGCGAGATTTCCTCAAGCTACCAAACTTTCGGAAATTTTAGTACTGGGAAAGAAGTGCTCCCGCTACTAAAATTTCCGAAAGTTGAGTACCGCGAGACGGGCACGCAAGAGGCTTTCAAAAGGAAACGAGCCAAAGGACGAGGTTACAGGGGCCAGGGGCGCGCACAAAAAAACGGAGGCGACCAGCACGACACCGTTTTATTAGAGAATTGAGAACAAGGGATAGAAATACTATCATAGGTTCAACCACAAATTTGCAGAAAGCATATTTCAAAATTCTATGTTTGGGGATATTTTGTGAACCAAATATTATCTTGATTTGTGCAGTTTTCAGCTAGCATCAGCTGCTGTACACGATAAGTGGGTCTCTAGTTTTGGATGGGAACCTCCGACACTTCCTGGCCAAGCTTCGTCAGGATCAGCGAACAAGATGCCCAACCACCAGAGTTCCAAGCTGGTTTTTAAAAACAAGATTGTTGACTACGCCGTTGTGGTGCAGATGGCATTGCATGGAAAACACCACTCAACCTGGATGCAGATGGAATGGCGCGAGTGATAGGATCAAGCCCTGTGCTGAACCGAACCGCAATGGGCCTGCCGAATCTGACCATCGGGACCGCGCGTCTGCACGATGATCTGTAACCTTGACATACAAACAAGACTCCGTCACAAACTACCGGAAAGATTCAAAGTTCAGGTGCATTGAATGTAACATTTGTGCAGTTGAGCCCAAACGAATGATCTCAAATACTTCCTGCCCAGGAACACTTCTCGCCCATCTGGCTTTCGCACCTAAGGTAGGATCAAGCTCACGACAGGTCGCAGAACTAAGTTGCTGTACATCTGAAGGCAGGTTGTAATCGCGTGCGGCATCTCGCAAGCCTATGTTGACTACTCAAACTTGCAGGTTTGCCCTATAAAATCCTCATGCTGTACCAGTGAAAGCACAATGTCCGTGTTTTGAATCATCGGCCCCTTTCTGCTCTAAGACTGGGCAACGATGCCAAGCCTGCAGCTCGGACCCTTCTGTCCATGACCGCATGTCCATGGCCGCTCTTAGCGGTGTTGTCCGAGCCATGGCCCTGCCCAGGTCTGATGGGAGCGTTTCGGTCACAGCAAGTTTCCTGCCATGCGTTTCGAAGGCCAACCGATATCGATGCAGGAAGTTCCGCGGACACCAACTTTGGCTTACCGCATACTCGGCGCTCGACGAGTACTTGCCGTCCATGATCAGTGCGTGCCCGGTATGAGCGGTGTGTGCTCGAATTTGATGCCGCCGTCCAGTTCCGATACGGATGGCCATGAAACTCAGGGCCACACCGCCCTTGACCAAGTACGAGAGGACTTTACAGAAACTGCGCGATGCCCGCCCGGAGGGCAAGACTGCGCTGGGAGCGTCGGCTAAGGCTGGGGAGTCCCACCAGTGAACCGGAGCCTGAATTTCTCGACGCCGGGGTGCCATCCAACCATGGCTCATGACGGCATAGTCCCTGACCAACACAGCCGTAGCAAGTTGAAAATGCAGGTCGAAATAGGCCTTGTGGCTAGTGGCCACTAGGAGCAAGCCGGAAGAAGGCACGTCCAAGCGATGAAGAAATCCGTGCTGCTTGGAAGCATCTAGGAGCAAGGCCGGACAACCGTTAGAGGGATAATACATGGCCCTGATGAACTCAGAGAGCCGCCCCTTCTCCCGGCTCTGCTCTTGTGACGATAGGTCTACCTCCCAGCCCGGTGGTTTGAAGACAACCAAAACGTCCTCGGCAAGCCATCGCGAAAACTACAAAAGAGGTCTGTCTGGCTTTTTGTAGATTGTACCCTTTGCATGTCCTGACTGTTCACTCCAAGCTTCGGCGACGGCCTTTTTGATGAAGGGCTCCATTCTGCTGGAGGTACCCGACAGGCCAACCCGACTGGCGACAGCGGGAAGAAGCTTCCCAGCCGGATCCAGGCGCGCACCCACTCGGCCCAAGGCGGTCCTCGCAGCAAGCCTTGCAGGCCCTGCCTGGGTCTCAACAAACTACTCCCTGGAAAGTACATCGGGGAGACGGCTTGCCACAAGGCTTCCTAGTGCTGACATGATACCGAGGTGTTAGCGAAACTGCTTGCCCAAAGGATTGTCAGTGTGGCATCCGCGAATTCCATTTGCCATCCTGGGGCGTTCGTATATGTCCAAATCGAACTATGGCCTGCACAAAGCTAGCCTATAGTTACCCCTGGCCAGCGGATGTCAGAGTCGGGCATGAATCAACTGATTTGCCCTCTTTTCAGCCAGGCTGCGGTAAGACTGGCTCTGGGAGAGTTCCGGCAGCCTCCGGACGAGCTCACGTTGAACGGCAAGCAGCACAGCAGATTCGGAATCTGCAATGGACAGGGCCCACGCCAAATTTGCCAGACTCGCTGGTTTCAGTAGCCGTCCCTCTCCCTTCTCCAACCGTCCCCTTGCAGTCTTGACCAGGTCACCGAGAGCATCTGTAGCCGACATGGATGCCAGAGACCACATCACAGAACAAAGCTCCGAGAGTTGAATGTCTGAGGAAACTTCCTGCAAGCGTGCTTTCAGGTCTAGAAGCTCTTGGGTTCAAGCTAAAACAGATACAAGGTGCTGCCAAGTCTTGTCCCAGGCACACTTAGCACGAGCTGCGAAAGGTTGCCAGATACCTGCTTGGCCATGCTGTGCGAAGATGCAAAGTGTCTCGTGGTCCTGGCAAGTCTCCACGAAAGCTGGGAAAGATCTGACCCCGATATTTCTGCGCCAGCGGAATCAATGCTGAAGCTGTCGGCGAGCAAGCTGTTGGTAATCGCCCCTAGGGTGTATATGGGTGTATCGCAACAGATCACAACTGTACACCTTCCTGACTAACCTCAACCAACCCGGAACGACTTGTTGAAAGCATGTCTTCGGTACCTGCAGGAGTTGATGTGTCCAACAGCAGGTTGGAGACCATCTGCCAGCGACCTTGACTCTGACAAGCACTAATGGCTGCAGCCGTTGATCCATGGGTGGGCAACGCCGCAAAGATCTTTATGTCTGCTAGTAGGCGGACTGCCACGTGCCAAAGACCTCCTTGCTCACAGGCAGAGATAGCAGAACTGCACGTGATGGCATCCGGGGTCAGTTTCAACCTAGCCATATCTCGGAGCAGCTCCAAGGCGAGTTGCCACTGCAGCCCTCGCTCACATGCAGAAATCACTGAGCTGTAAGTGACGAGATTGGGCGTGGTCGTGTCTTCGAGCATTCGGCTTAGCATTTGCAGGGCCGGCTGCCACTCCGCAGCATCCTCACAGGCACTGATGGCAGCACTGTAGCTGATGACGCTAGGCTGCAGTTTTCGTTCCTTGCAGTCTCCGAGCAGCATCATTGCCGACTGCCATCGCGAACCTCTTGCACAAGCGCTAATTGCAGCACCGAATGTTGTTTCCTGTGGTAGGCATTCTGCCACCATCGCTTCCAATGCGCAGAGCGCAAGCTCCCACTGCCCACCCTTTTCGCATGCACTGATCACGGCATTCCAGGATATGCTGCTGGCCTCTGTCCCTGCCGTGCTCATGTCGTCCCAGAGCTGCAGTGCTCTTTGCCACTGGCTAGTGCGTGAGCATGCAGTAATCGCTGCCGTATAGCTGAAACAATCTGGGCACAAGGAACCCGTGGCATTCATGTCCGCCAACAGTTGCAGTGCAAGTTGCCATTGCCCGCCGTTGGCACATGCAGCAATGACCGGATTGCAGCTTATTATGTCTTGCTCCAACTTTGATGCGGTCATGCCCACAGACAAGGCCAGTGCCGCCTGCCATTTGCTTGCCTTCTCACAGGCGCTGATTGCCGCACTGGACACGATCTGGTTTGGTGCATACTTCTGGCTGTACATGGTGGAAAGGAGGTCCATTGCATGTTGCCACTCATGTCCTCTTTCACACGCACTGATGGCTGCACCATACGTGATCTGGTTTGGAGCAGTCCGGGCTCCATGCATGCCCTCCAGAATGTATAATGCGTGCTGCCACTGGCTTTTGCTGCCGCACACTGTGATTGCAGCACTGTAGGTAATAACATCGGGAGAGACCAAAGCATCTGTCATCAAGTCCAGCAAGTGCATGGCTTGCTGCCAGCTGTCTGCTGCTGTCATCGCCGCACCAAAACTGATTTGATCCCTCTGAAGGCTCCGGTCTTGCATGGTTCGCAAGAGAGACATGGCCATCATAGACTCTCTTCCCCGCGCACAGGCCGAAATGGCAGCATTGAATGTTATTTCAGTCGGTAGAATTCGCCGATCTGCAGAACAAGCTTGCAGTAGATCTAGGGCAACTTGCCATGCACTGCCTTCGGCACATGCACTGATCACAGAGTTGTAAGTCACGATGCTGGGATCCAATGCCAGGAGCCGCAGCTTGGACAGGAGTCCAAGAGCAAAGGCCCAGCGGCCTTCTCTCTTGCAGCCAGATAACACAGCATTGTAGTGGAAGGTGTTGGCTTCCACGTGGTTCTGAACCCTGGCTGCGCCACTTTCCGCCTACTCCCACGACCTAACTCAACAAAAGCAAACCGATGGTCGATGCTGACTGCTGGCCAGGCTCATGAGCTCCACAGCCTTGGCTTCTCAACGAACAAACTCCAGTTAGCAACAACCCTCGGAATGCCCCCGTGCCCAACAGCAACAGCACTCAATCAGCGTATGCCGGGCAGCTGACATGGCCTCGTCAACGCGGCCTTGCTTGGACATCTTTGAGATGGCAGCCGTGGCCTCTTGTGGATGTGTGCGCCACTGCTCCAGTGGAAGCGGCGGCGTAGCCTTTGCTGCCAGTCACGAAAAAACGAAGCGCATTACAGCAACGTCCGTTGAGCAGATGTTATGGTCAGCCGGAAGCTCTTCTAAACGACACCTGCTTTTAGCAACTTTCAGACTTGCGCTTTATTGTACAGCCAGATCTGCGATCAATCCCAGTATAGTCAGTGTAGATCCAGAAATGTAAGTGTTGTCTAATGCCATATTCAAGTCACTGAAACTCTTTGCCGAACATGCTGAACCATCTCGCCATGGAGCGGCGGCCCTATGTCGCACGCTCAATTCTAAAGGTCTTGCTCAGCCGAAACATGACAGGGACATGTATGGCTTAGCAAGGTCTCTCAGGCTGGTGCGGCAGTAGATTGATTCTGCTATTTAGGAAGAAGCCCTCTCAGAAGTAGACCATCCTCTGTTGCACCGTCTTCTGCTGTGGATAACCACCTTGGCCAAAATGCCACACCACATGTCGAAAAGAGTGCTTGAAAGCCGCCTAAGCATCATGGACTTCGAGCGTCGCATTACCAGGTCGGAACCGTGTTTAGCAAATTTACATTTACATTCCTTCCACGAAAAGCAGTTCAAGACGAAAGGCTGAAACCTCAAGCCAAACACTGATAGGTTGCTGGCTGCCAATCATAAACCACTGTCCGACCAAGCGCCCAAAAATGTACGACACGTTTGTGCAGTCATGTTATTTGCCGCTGCGCTGTCAGGGACAGCCCTGGTGGCAGCATGTACGGCTTATGGTTCAGGATTGCTCGCCATTTCGTTGACTCAAAAGGTGTAGGTCGTCACCAACTCTTGCAGGCCTGTGACTATCACGTGTGTCGCACTGCTCGGGTTGCCGTGGCATGGCAGCATCAAAAGACCAGATGGACGTTGGATGATGCGTTCAGCTTCGTAGCAGCTTCCAGCCTTCCCTAAGACGTCCTACAGCGGTGACATCTAACAATCTTCAGACTTCCTTACCAAACTTGGCTGACATCAGATTGGTTGCCCAAGCGCCTCCTCCGCCGCCGAAGGGCGTGTTCACGAAAGGACTCGTAAACATGAAGCTGTCCAGGCCCATGCCCCCTGCAAACGGTTTAAGACGAGGCAGAGGGTGGAATTGGGCAAGCGGCAGAGGGATTAAGAGGCATGGTAGCTTTCGACTATTGAATCTGCTGAAGCCCTTCAGCGATGACGAGCTACTGCTCCGTGCTGAGTCCAGAAATCGTCCAGACGTTCCAGTGCCTAGTTCGGACCTAGGTCTGCGAGACACTCTTCTGCCTGCCACGTCCACGGCTTCGGCTGGCAACCTGCGTCAGAACGCATCAGGAACTGGCAAGACTGCATGGGCAAGCCAACGTCAATCTGTGTTCTCAGGCCAATCACGCAGGGTCGTGCAACATCGTGCATGCTCTGCTCATGCAATCCCAGTCGCCAAACATCGCCAACGCCCTTCACAGTCACTTTGGCCGTGTTGTCCTCGCGGTCCACCTTCAGGTCTGTGCACTTCCAACCCTTTCTGTTGTGCAATTCTGCCTCGCTCTGTTTGCAGCTACTTGCGGAATGCTACGAGAGCAGACGCCCGCGCCTTGATGACGCGCCCTTCCTTGCCCAGGGACTTTATCCTGTTTCCCAGGCATTCAACTAAGCTCTTTCACAGGGAGCGGGGCTTTGCAAAGTGCCTTAGGCCGTCATTTTCGCTGTCGATGCCCGCTTTTCGGCAGAGAGCCAGCACTCGGTGCTTGTCTGTGTGCACCTCGTCCGTAGTCGCGAATCGGCTTTGAGAGATGGCATCGATATCTATGTGCATATTTATATGTCCATTGTTGCCTGTTCCTATATACATATATATGTACTTGGACGTGAGGCGTAATCAGGGCATTTTCACTGTGTGAGGAAGGTGGAACATCAATTTGAGGAGTGTGTTATACCACATCTCATCGCATCGGAGGAGGATTTCCTGCCAGAATCTTGCTCTGGCTTGACTCTCAGAATCTACCTTCTTCGTAAACATATCCCGCAGTCCAACTGCACAAAGTGATCTGCCTTGACAGTGGAGCCAACGCCGATGATGCCAGGGGAACCGAAGCCCTGGGAAAGCAGAGCATGAGACACTCAGTGGTGGATCGGAATCGGCAACAAGCCGGTTCGCCCCCAAACCCCCGACATTGCAGAGTTCCCCACGTAAGCCCTAACCGCTAAACCCCTAAACCCTAATATCTAAACCCCTAAACCCTAAACCCCAAACTCTAAAACGCTGAACCGCTTGAACCCACCCAGTTTTTGCAGCCAAGAGACTGGGATGTCCTGCATGCCCCGGAAGAGCTGCGAGTCGGGGGCAGCGATTCGAATTCCGTTTTGCACAAACCGCGTAACTGATTTTAAGTATTGCACTGACACCCTAAGCCTTAAGGCCTCGGGGTTTCGGGTATAGGGTTTAGGGTTTGGGGGTTTAGGGTTCCTAAACCCTGAACCCTAAACCCCTAAAGGCATACCGGCATACCCATACAAGATCAACATCTCTTGGCTCCCACGTTCTGTGCAGGCCTCGTGAAGGCCACCCTGTCCAAACACCTGGCACGAAAGTCCGGTCTACGCGTAGCTCTAAGAATCCTAACCCTGATTGGGGACCACGGCGAGAGCTGATGAACGTGCAAATACGTTGACTGAATCTGGTTTATTCTGGTTTGGGGGACCTTCAGACAGTTTGACACCGGCCACGGAAGCGAGGGCTGCGGCTAAAGGTAGGCACTTGCCCACAACCGGGAAAGGCGGGTGTACTCTTTCTAGATCAACCTCGCACATACGAGGGGCAACAGATTCAGACGGTAGAAAAATCGGCTCACTCTTGAGCCCAGTCCAGAGGAGGCACCATTATCAGTGCGATCATGTGCACCCAACCTGTCGGAAGAGGTCCTCCGCGCTTGCCTTGGCCGAACGAAGACTGAGAAACAAGCTCAAAGGGTGCACTGCCGATGAAGGGCGACGTCAATTTTTCCGGGTACAGGGTCATCTTCTGCCGCTTCATGAAGAGTGGACACCGTGAGTCAAACTCGGGCTTGAAGTCGCGTTTAATCGGCGTGGCTGTCCAAACCTTCGGCATTTCTCCGCTGTCGCAGGCGGCTGGCTCATCCTCTGTAGGTCCTTGGCCACTTGAACACGCATTAGCATGCAAGCCGCTCTTCGGGTTGAGCTTGACCGATGCGACCCATCAATGAACGACTTGCGGCGGCAAGCAGGCCATTAAGCCGAACATGTCTTCTTCGGTTAGGAACCGGTCATGTTCGCGACAAGATCTTTGCACGGCCCTTAGGATCGGAGGTCAAAGTCGATCATGTGTCAAGGTCGCCTAGTCACATAATAATCACAATGGCAGACTGGCATGCCAACGAAGCTGATGGCACGATGCTAGTAGCTCGTTCATCACTTGAAGGTTAGGCACAGAACTCCTGCTCAAGTTATATCTAGCATGTCGCCTTGCTGTCCGGCTCTGTAAGGAGAGCTATTCTTTGTTGGGCTTCCTGGCAGTTTTCCCACAGTGTCCGTCACAGCTCAATACACAAATCTTGGTGACTCTGTCGCTCGTTTAGCCAATCAGGAGTCCGTCGGTCTTCGGTGCCCGGTGCTGCCACCATCTCACGCACGGCTAGTCCGCACGAGGAAAAGCGGACGCGCGCTTCGCGCAGCCTGCAACTGAAATCACGTCGCTGAAAATGAGCAGAGTTGGGCAGCTCAGAACGTAGCCGTTCTCCCTTTCGCTGTTTGAGATGCGTGGATGGCCCTGTGAAGGCACCAAAAGAAGTGAATGCAAAAGCTGCCTGGATAACTTCCAATCCATCCAAGCCTCTCTAGGCCTCATTCTGGCTTTGGACAGTTGCCGCCCGTCGAGGACTTGATGCTTGGAGCACGGCAACACACGGAGGCCTGAACATGGTCTTCCACTGGTTCTTCCACTGGGTCCGTGGTCGATGGCCTTGGCACAGCTATGCCGCTCACGCATCGTGACTTCTTACAAACCCGGGACTCGAAATCCTAGACTTCGAGCTGCAGACGGCCAGATCCCGCCAGGCTCTCCTGTCAGTTATGAAGAGGGGATACTTAGTATACTAGGTGGAACATGGTGAGACTTCTTTGACTTACCTCGGCATGAACCCACAGTGCGCTGCTCACTGCTTGGTTGCACACGCTGGAGTCGGCTGGACAGCAGCAAGCTTTGGAGAGTCTTGCTGCAAAGTAGATTAAAAACATCGCACATGCCCGCCTGGCGCTGCCTGTCGACATCATCGAAGAAGCTGGGAAGAGTGTAACTACCGGGAGGTGGCGCCCTGGCGGCCAGCCTGGCTGCTTCCGAGCTGTTCAGCAGAACTCTTGCCACTGAACCTACTACTTCACCAGCAGCTGCAGCTGCCCTGTCTTGATGATCGAATCGAGGTTTTGCCACACACTCTTCGACAGCACTTGGGACAAGAGAATTAAGTGCGATGGTTGAAACTGGAGCAATCTGTATCCCTTCATCGCAGGAATTCCCAGCCTTCGCTCTCTCACAGCCTCCTGGGGGTCCTCAGGAGCAACGCAACAACTCATTTAAGTGCGTTCAAAGTCTGTACTGGTGGAGCACTATTAGATGTGATTCATGGACTTGTGGCTTACACGTCGGATAGATCGTCTCGGCTCGATTGCGATCATTGTCGACCCAAGGCAAAATCCTCGAGGGGCAGGTCCCTGCCCCAAGAACGTCTTCACTTGGCACAACACCTGAAAACTCGAGGAACCTACCGTAAAGCCCGAAGATTGGAAGCCTCTTTACTTATTCAGTACACTTCAAAAACAATCAAACTCTGCCAGCGGCAGGTTTAGGAAGTCTAACAAGCTGTCTTGGATGGTGTGCGGTGACCCTATCAAATTGTCGGCTCTTGCCTGCCTTCGGAGTTTCGGGTGTAGAACTGGGACTGAAACTCCACCAAATTCTGAAGAGCTGGTCTTTGGGTGAACGATTTCAGAAGCTTCAGCCGCTCTGAGAGCCATTTCAGGCCATTTCTGTCTGCAGCTCGTTTTGTCTTTCTTCCTGCCGAAGGCTGGTGGAAATCTGAATTGTGGAGAGCTGGCGCTCTTCAAGATGTTGAGCAGCTTCGTGAAATTCTTGCTCAAGCTGCACCGGACTTGCCCTGCCGCTGCTTCTTCGGCACTGCATGGAGAAAGGCAACCAGCCACAAACCAAACTGGGTCTTTGGTTTACAGAGCCGAAGCCGCAGCTTGGCACAACATCTTCCTGATGCAATCAAAGCTGGTGTTCTAAGCCCTCCCACTCCACGAGCCATGGACCAAGCCGTCGAGGAAGGCAGCTGCCTGCAGGCAAGGCCGACTCGGTGACTCGGCTCGCGGAGATTGGGGGGCGATTCAAAGCAGCTGAGTTTATGGATGTTACGGGCAACGTGTGCGTGCCGGCCTCGCTCAACCTAACTTCAACACGATCGCAGTCCGAGTCAATGCGCAGACTATCCCGGCTGAGTCATACAGCAAGGGCCAAAGGAACATTAGTTCAAAAAGAGATACCAGTAAGAGAAGAGGTATTGCGAAGAGCGGTTCTGTGGGTACAGTGTTGGTTGGCAACGGCTCAGAGACTCCTGGGGCGCCCACACGCGCTTGTGTGCTGCAACACCGTCCGGGAGCGGGTACTGACCGGGACCTTGGCGATCACGGGTCCAAGACAAATGCCTGTATGAACAACAGCCTCTGACACTCTAAGATCCAAGCCAGTGTCGAGATCCCTGTCGACGGCACCTGTCTATCGGACCAATCGCACAACTCCGCGAAAAAAGACGAAGAAGGAATGGCACTGACAACTCAACTGGACCGTAATCTGTGGGCACTTTCTCCACACAGGTGTCCTCCGAAAAAGCTCTGGTGCATAACATGCCGGCAGTGCCCACGATGCCCTTCATGACGCCCGTGCGCTTGTGGGTGCGAGACTGATGCAGATTCAACTACCGCCGAAATCGTGAGAGCACAAATCGGTGCTTAAGGGGAAGAGCGAGCGTGCAGTTTTGTCTGATGGTCATCTCAGGGCGGCCAAGACAATCTGCTACATTCCCCCCTTGCGGCTGGGACCTCGTTGGCGAAGGTAAATGTCGGCGCGGAGAGTGCAGCACTGAGTTTCCTTGACGCTCCAAGCTGCGGCTGCTGCACGGAGCTGAATCAGATCTAAGGCCAGATCCCTTTCCGCACTTCTGCAGTCGGATCGACGACAAAATCACCTGTGGAAGCAATGGACGGGCAGTCTGCGATGAGAGCGAGCGAGACTGTGCTGCTGGGTTGCGATCTATCTTGTACTGCCCCGGCTCCAAGTGCCTGGTGCGAAGACTCCAAGCTCTCTCACGGGTGTCTTCTTTTGCAGTGACTAACAGCTTCTGAGCTTCTGCTTGCATCAACCCGAATTGATCTTCAGTTAACATGCCAGCAGATCTGGGCTGCGGTTGCCCCGACTTTGTCGGAGAACCATGTGTCGTTCCAGCCTCCAGTGAGGAAGCTGCAGCTGCTTGAACACAACTGGTGCAGCTGCAAGACGGGCACCCCGTCTTTGCAATCCGGATGCTAAGCGATGTTCGCCCTCCCCTAATTAGCTTTCAGCTCGATGTGACTACCGTGCTGCACCAAGACCATGGCTAATGGTCCATTCAGGCGATTTGCGCTTGTCTCCCAACTTGTCCAAGTACCTGCAGAGTGACTCGGTGACTCTTAAAAATGGAGCTCCGAAGGCTTTCCCTGTTGAAGGCGGACGCTCGCAGCTCGAGCAGATCCGGATCCTTCGAGTTTAGCATGGCTCGAAAGAGTGAAGCGTCTAGAGTCTCGGATTCGCAGCTGAGAATGACCATGAGGCTCGTTCAGAAGCCTTTCGGCAAAGATGTGCCAGCTTGTTCTGCAACAGGAATGGCATGGCTTCTTACAGCCTCCTAATTCAGGCGAGACTCCTGAGCACGTTGAACCTCCCCTGCAACCAGGACCTATCTGCTTCCGTGGTTTGGACCGAAAGTGGCATGGTGCAGTCAAGTACGTCTCGATGAATGACATCGGGCAGACAAGGGTGCAGATTGTTGCTCTTTGGAGACTTGATCCTGCTGACGGTTCTAGCGATCTTTAACAGGCCAGCAATAGGATGATTGGGCACCAGATATCAGTTAGCTAGGACCCCCCTCGCCCCTTTTGGGTTATGGCACCACCCACCCCCTAGGCTACTTGCCTCATATGTGGCTAAAGCATTTTTAGCACAGCACCGCGTTTGAAACCAGTAACTGCATAGTTATGATGTAATTATGGTGCATAAGCAGTTATATATTATAATTACATTAGACTTACAACCCTTAACCCTAAACCCTGAACCAAAATACAACGAGGACCACCTTGCCCATGGCACCTAGGTAGACAGGAGTATTGGGGTTCAAGAGTGTGATCAAGCATTGGGCTAATGATTGGTGGGGTGGGTGGTGCCATAGCCCAAAAGGGGCGAAGGGGGGTCCTAAGTATATCATGGCATATCATGGCATGTCTTTGCGGCATGAGTCAGTTTGTCACTGCTTGGGCACATCCACAGTGCTGGATGCTTTCTTGATTGCGGGCCTACAGAACTCGCCGCGATCCAATCAGGCAGTTCCATGCAAGCAACCATCATGTAAGCCTCACTGCTTGCATGCTACATGACCTCAGAAGACAATGTGCTGAGGAGGCTTTTACGGCCATCGCAAAACTCGGAGAAATCACAGGTCATCAAACAAACTGCGACTAGGATACGGTCATCTAAGATGAGGCGGCTGACTTTCTGAAAAGTACCAGATCTGCTGCTCGACAGCAGATCTCAAAGACATATTACGTAATGCAAAGGATATGCTGCATTGTTAGGGGCAAGCTCTTGTGCGACCAGGCCCTCGCAGATACTTGTTTGGTGCTGCTTGCCGATCCTGTGCCTTTGAACCAGCATCTTTTGAGTTTGCTACTGGATTTTGCGGGGCTCTACGCTGCTATCGGCAAGCAGACAAAGCAGACATGCGAAGTGATAACTTCACCCTCTCAGCCTCTCGTCGGAAGTCGAGGTGTCTCGTCACATTCTGCATCCCGGAGTCACCGGTGAATGCCTGCCCTCGTCAAAGTCTGGGACGAATCGTGTCGTAAAGCAGCAGCTGCACCGTAACGATTAGGGTCATCTGGAAGATGCGAGTTTGCCATCCAGAGAACAAACCTGCAATGCCCAGCCGATTCGTCGCGTCTCTCATTTGCTTCCACACACTTGGTGGTTCGTCGTCCCAGAAGGAGTCGCCGTCCATGGGCACAGGGCACTCGCCCGATCCCCCCTCTACAGAAATGCACGTAAATACAGTGTCTGCAGGCTGGGACGCGAGTGTCGCTGCCGTTGCTGCACCAAAGGCTGCTAAGACTCTTGCAAGCACTGGGTTGACAAAGAGGCTGCAGAAGTCGGACATCACGTCGTAGGTGACCAGCTTTGCGACTGTGTAGGAACACTGCTTCATCAACAATGGCACCAAAGCCCCAAACCAGCCTTTCCACACACCCTGATCGCTGCGAAGCTGTTGTAGTGCCAGCCATGTATTCAGGCCAAACATTGTTAGAATCCTTGGCTGTGATACATGCGCCATGTTCAAAGCATCCGATGAGGCTACTGACCCTATGGACGCAAGACCCCGGAGGCATCATTGCAAGATTTGCAAGCATGTCATTCACATAACCGGAGATGAGGAACACCGAGGATGCTAAGTCGTAGAGCGATGGACGGACCCACGCATTCGGGCTTCTCATTGCCCCTTGTGCAGCTGAGGTTCTGATGGATACCATGCATGCCTCTCTTCTGTTGCTTACAGAACCGTTCGTACGCCTGTCTTGTTGGCTCCATGAACGATGGATCTGCAACAAGCATTATTCTTGCCGCTTCCGCCGGACATAACACGACAGTTGCCAGCATCTCTGCTAGAAGAGCGCATATGCACAGCAAGCTGATGTGCCCGGCCACGGAAACAACTTGATGAATCCGAAAGATGGATTTCCACATCTCGAACAGGCCATACTTGAAAGCACCATGCAGGAAGTATCCAGTAAACGTCGCGCCAACCCCACTGAGGAGTTTCTGTGGTCCATGTGACTTCACGAGCTTCATCGCCATGTTCAGCATGCCCGGACATCGACCCTCCCTCTCTTCGGTCGCCTGCTGGGACGTCTTAATGACATCAATCGGTGTCGCCAGTACATGCGAGAAGCTCGAACAAAGGCCACCAGCTACAAAGAAGCCGAAGGGGCCCAAGGTCGCCAACAAACTGGACGGAGAGAACGGTAGAGCAGACAAAGCCACGATCTCCGGCGATCGCCGGATGGACATAAGGCTATCAGATCTCAGGCTTGGCGGTGGCCTTTGCAGCCTTGGCAGCACCTGCCGTGCGCTGGCTCTTGCTGCAACGCCAGAGACAAAGGCTTCATGTAGGGAAGGTATCGAAGGTACTGCGTGCATGGATGCCACCATCAGCATGATGGACACCATGTTGCTCGAACGACATCTGTGCAGCGATGTGGATCGCTGAATCGGCGCTCGAGCGCGGCCTGGCATGTGCAGACATCGGCAAGTGGGCTCCTCCGACGTGCCGTCTTTCACGGAGTTGATATCCGTGCCGTCTTTCACGGAGTTGGTATCCGTGCCGTCTTGCACGGAGTTGATATCCATGGCTCGCAGCCGCATCACTGCCAACTTCTTAAACACCTGACCTGGCGAACTGTGCTGTGCATCTCGATTAGTGTGGCAGGCAAAAGACAAGACTTATCACTTTCTGCATCTGGTCAACTTCTCGTACGACCGTCCTTGCAGGCGGCCATATGCTGGAATGCCTTTTACATAGAGTTGACCATGCTTGCTTTGTGAAGCTGCTGTCGAAATCGATGGTGGGCCATCGGTTCATGTCAGTTGTAGCCGCCAAAGTGAGACTCACCCTGGCCGCAAGCTCAGAGGATAGCGGCTGCGTGATGGCCGCTGTGTGCATCTTGACCCCGCCCAAAAACGATAAAGACTCGTGCCCCGCTATTCATGCATGATAAACAGCAGAAAGCAAGCTAGCTTCTCGGCCTAGCTGGAGAGCGTGGCTCATTAAAGACTTACTTCTGCCTGAATGTAAAACTGGACATATGCCTGCTACTGGAAACCACGAGGGCCGGGCTTGAGTGTTTCCACCAGCATGGAAACCACCTGAGTGTTACGAGGGTGCGACTCGAATCAGAAGCGCTCCTCGGCGCGAAACGTCTCCAGATGCTGTCGAACGCCTTTTGGGGCAAGGGCCAGGAAAGCCATTCGTGCCTGCAAGCCAGAGAGCAATGTCTGCGCTGCATTCGAAGCGCGCTTAGAGGCAGAGGCAGCGCAATTGACAGTGACTTGGATTCACGTGGTCATGTGACACATGGAAGCGACGCCTCCGCCAACGTCGTGGGCACTGCGCTTTTCGGGATTGGAGAGCGTCTGGCGTCTGGTGCCGTTCAAGAGTTCAAGAGGAGCCCAGCCCCAAACTAATGCAAGAGCTGTTACTTCTAATCATGGTGCTGGACGTGGTCAACACAGCTTTGCCGCTGTTGCGGCTTCCCCTGAGCGTTGTCGTTGCTGCTAGAGCTGGTGCTGGTTCTGGTGCTTGCTCTGCTGTCGTTGTTGCTACATCGTACCAGTACTGATATTAGTACTGGCAGTAGTCCCCTTCCTGATGCTGCAGTGACAAGCACCACCATTATCATTGTAAACGTGCCCGCAACCTCGTAGGCGTTGGCCACCTCGGTGAAGCGCTTTTGAGCCTGCCCGCCAAATAGAATCTGACTACACAGAGGAGTCAGGCGGGTGCCTACTTCCACTAGCATTTAGCACAGCTGCCGGGCTTTTAAACAACGGAGAAGACAAGGTAATCCGGCGAACTTGGAACAACTGTGCACTGCGCTATGCAAGACAGAACAAGCTCCTTCACCTTTTCAACCTGCTGCATTGATATCTGTGCAAGTACTGTCACAGGCTCCAAGCACCCACCTCGTCTCGCTTCTCTGGCGGCTGCCTATCAGGATGCCACTTCATGGCCTCAGTCATCGCTTCAGACAGAACAATGCAATGACTCACTTGGATTTGATTCCGGCCTCCTTCTTGTAGGCCTTCTTTATCTCCTCTTGTGTGGCGTTTCGGCTAATGCCGAGAATCCTGGGTCGCAGGGAAGGGAAAAACCAACAGAGGAAGCCAGAGGCAGTTGACCGGACACCAAAAGTGTTGGAGCCTCCTGGCATCTACTCGCTTCGTGAGGTGTAGCAGTGTAGCATCCACTCAGACTTGCTGACGAAGTTCTTGTAAGGATCCTCTGCCCTGGAGGAGGACGAGAAGCTCCTCTGTCAGTAGAATGCTGCTGCATGCTGCACCTGCTGAACCTGCCCTGTCTCGAAAAGTCTTTCCAACATGCACAAACAGATGCATCGACAGCGTGCATGATTCGGATGCCATTGCGATGCAGTCAACTACCTGCAGTAGCACATCCGACAAACTGGCACCCTCACTGCCGCAAAAAAACAAAGATTTCCTGCAGGCACCAAAACCAAGGTGTAGAAGACCCGGAGACGATCCTCAGTGACTTTACATGATGCCGTGCGGCAGCGCAGAACTGCAAACGTGCACGATTAGCATGCTGGAACGGTCGAACCGCAGTTTAAAGACTTCTACAACTTCACGTCCACATCAATCTGGACGATGTACCAGAGCCGCATTCTGCTTTCTGCTCTCCAGCCTCTCAGTCCCCTGCTGGAATCTGCGCCCAGTTTGCATCCTGGGACCACCTCGGCATTTGCACATTCCACAAGACGTCCACCGAGCCCGGTGTACTTGCCCAGACCCACAGGCACACGAAGAGCCATGTGGAACGCCGGGGCAGCAAGGGTATAGCACGCGGACAGGTTGAGATGTCGCGTGTGTAGATACATGTGGACGAAGGTACCTACCTAAATCCAGCATCGTGGAGACATCATGTAGAATTGCTTCCCGACAATAATGTTCAACAGTGTCAACGAGTGTCGAGCGCGATCAAAGGCCATACTTTCGACTCGCAGCCAGAGATCCCGTCATTACGATCACACGCTGCAGCTACCATGCGCAACATGTGTGAAGCAAGGGCTTGGGTTCCCCTTCCACGGTATGGCTTTGAACTATATTATACTTGCTATATGACAGATTAACATGGTATGATATATGGCATCTTCTCTATATATCACTTACTATGTATACCGTATACCTGTGGAACTTTATGGCTGATAGCTGAGTCTCCGCCTCCCCAAACAACTTCAAACATCTCCGACGCTGGGCTGCAGGCGAACGGGCTGGAAGGTGCGCCTGGCAGGCGACTTTTGCAAGAGCGGATCTTTGTTGAGGTTTCCATGTCGCCGTCATGCAGAGAACGACGCAACGCATTGGTCCAGTCCAGGCAGTGCATTAAAAGCCGCCAGTAAGGTTAACGGTTCAGCGCACTTAACTCGATCCACCTAGCACGGCTCCGCGGCGTGGAAGACGGCTTGCTGCAGCCTGGCTCGCCAAGCGCTGCCATAGCCTGCAGACGGTGACCGAGAGTCTTGGAGTGGCATGAGTGGCAGCTTGAACACCCGGCTTACTTCGTTGGCCATGCTTCTTGACTATGCAACGCAGAACGCAGAGCCAGTCGGTGCAAGCAGATGAGTTTTGTTCACAAGGATCTTCCAAGAAGCTTGGCGCGAGGCATGACACTTGGCGCTCGCCGACCGACTGCCATGTCAGGGAAAACTGCACACAGACGCGCTTTGGCGGACGAGGCTTATGGTACGACGTGCTGCGCAATGCCACAATGCATCTTAGCGTTGACCGTATCATTTGTGCAGTATACGAATTGCTGATCCTGAAGCCAGTCTTGAGCCCAGTCAGCTGCAAGTGGTGAGGACTCAAATCAGGATAGGGGGGAGGGCGTCTGGATGGCTGCAGGGCACGAGCGAGGCCCCGATTTGGAAGGGCTTCCGTCTCCCGATAATTAGTATGGACTTGTGTGGGCGGTGCTCCCTGGTAGCCGAGACCGCTGGAACAAAGCTGTGCGGGAGCACTGACAGTGGAATCGTGCAGACAGTCATTCACACTCAGGGATAATCGGGATACAACTCAACTCGAAAAAGAAGAATTCAGTGCGAGAGTAGCATGTTACCTGGCGTCAATGCCGTCGTAGAAGGCCGTATAATATTGAAGTTTGCGGACCTGTGTGGCTTGCACTGAAGACGAGAGCAACATGGATCGGTCTGCTCGGCAAACATGCATCATTGCCGTGGTTCTGTGCAAGGTCGCGGGGCTAGGCAAGTGATATGTGATAGCGACTTGAGTTCATCAGCATGGCATGACACATTCCGAGGCATGCTGCGAAGATCGGGTCAGACGTTCGTGGATTGTGCGCTGCAGTGATGTCGTGGGCACTGCTTCCACATGTGTGGCAGTATCTTGTCGAGGAGGAAGCGCCATTCGCTTGACCGGCGACGGTCCCGCGCCCAACGTGTAGCAAGATATGATTGCCGGGTAACGAAGCGGAGTCGACTCCACGCAGAGATCATGAGGAGATCTAGCTACTATTAGTTCAGCAGACAAGTGCGGCCGATGACAAACGAGACCCTCCGACGGTCAGTACGTTGGATACAGCATCCATGCACAAGACGCTGACAATCGCGAGATTCAAAATTCGTATGGTGGCATCTCAGATTTTTGAGCTTGTCGAGTTAGTGCTGCTAAACTCGATAACTTTTCACACGTGAATTCCTGCCAACAGCCGCAGATTTCGGTGTTGATCGGGGCTTGTGGGGTCCATGACTCCATGATGCTGTGTTTTATCGGTGAGGGCGAGCGGTAGACATGTGTCATAACAAACGATGGAAAGTACGCTGCACACGCACTTGCGACAGTATCTGTGCAAGAAGATCCTTACGCCGGCATTGCACATGTGCACCAACACGTCTTCGCTTGAACGGTGGCGTTGGCGTTGGCGCTGCCTACCCGCCTTACCTTGCCGTACCACGCTTCACCGACTGCTCTCACGCTCGGAAGCACCCGTCGGAGGCTCCGAGGTGAGGCCCTCTGAATAATGCGCACTTCTAAGTGGCTTCAAGCCAAGGGTTCGACAATCGTAAAAACAACTACCTGAAGGGGCTACTGCAGTTCAATGGCTGTGATTGAACTTCCGGAAGAAATTTGAACAACCTGCATGCAGAGCCATGCATCTAGCCGCCAAAATTTATGCATAATCGAGAGATATGAGCGTCCTGCCGGCTCTCAGTACCATGGTGAACAAACGTACCTTACCTTTTCCAGCTGAGTCTTCTGCGACATAAATCACTGGTGAAACGCCACTGCACACGCTAACCTGAACGCATCACTAAACTTCCAGGCGACATAGAATTTCTCATCGCTTCCGCCTGTCATCATGCCAGTCATGCAACTGCCGGGTTGTAAGCACAAAGTACCTGTGTCTCTCGGCTGCCATGCCCTGGACTGCAAGCGCTAGATCTGTTTGATCCAGAGAGTTGTTGCACTTTATACCATAACAGAGCCAACGAGCAGCGGGATCCTTGCTGGGAAAAGTGCCAGGCAGACCTAGCCGTTGACAAAGACATGGTTACCGCCAAAGCTGCAGTGAGCAAGGCCACCGCCGTCACGTACCTGTGCGACGACAAAGAGTAGTAAGCCATCTTATATGAGCAGCGCACCTACTGAGTAGAACCTACGGATCTGTGCCAAGGCTGCTGATGGCGCACGGCCAGTGCCCTGACGCTGCTGGTGTCTGCGTGCACCTGGGTGACTGTCCCAAAGAGCATAACTACTTGTAGCCATGGAGTCGCCATCTAGTTCTGCCACTGAGGACTGCAGAGTTTTGCAAGAGTTGGCAAATGAGTTTCGCCATACTGCCCCTTAGGGGCCACAAAAGCTGCCGGTCATGCCGAGTCTTTGACTGAACATAATCCGGCTGTAAGCCTTAAGCTGCACTCTATCAAAGCTGTGCCCGCACTTGTCATTCTAAACTTTCCAAACTTTTGGTGCTTTATTGCTATTTTTGTCCTCTTGGGCAGCTATGCTAGGTCGGAGGGCCCTAGCATATTAACAGCAGACCCAAACAAGATGGTGGTAGCGCCAGAGACCGGAGATAGCCTGACCGTGAGACCAAGCACAGGCTCAGTTCAGCGACTCAGAGGATGAGGCAAGCAGCTTTGAGAAGGACAAACCTGCAACAAGATGCCTTCGATGGATGGCTACAGTGCGTCAGCCTCATAGCTCCTTTCTGAGCCTCAAATCCTCGAACGGCTCATACCGGCCGGACTCTCACCTGTATCTTTCTCGCTCGCCCTTCTCGCCCGCGCGATTTGGAGCTTGTCCTCGTCCAAGGTGCCAAGCTTGACAAACAAGGTGTCGAAGTCATCGTCAACCCGATCCCGGCAGATCCCCAAAGCATGACCGATGTGCTCTCGGAGCACCGTGTTGATCTTTTCGAAGCTCTCCATTTCTTGCCTTGCATGCCATGAACAAGCCAGCTCGCACATCCTACTAGTAATCGTATCAACCGGAAGTCATGAGCCGGCACAGTAGAAGCTCATACCTGCGATAGCTTGCAAAAAAAGAGTTCCATCGAAGGTCAAGCTGCAGCACGAGCTGGGTGATCATATTCTTGTCCTCGGACTGTCGGGTTCATACCAACTGAAATCCCAAAGCGGCAAGAGCAAGCTGCACAGGGTCTCAGCGTCCTGTTCCGTGGTGGCTTCTGCATCCTCTAGACTGAGCGTTGACAAGCGCTCTCCAATTTGCATTGACATCTCGACGGTGGAGGCTCCAAAATTCAGGACCTTGGTCCCGTTTGTGTGGACCGCTCAGCCATGGTGGCAGTGTGACAAGTCTGAGTCTGCAGCACCATTCTCCGTGCAGAATAACAAACCTTTGAAACCAACCTGGCCAGTGAAACCGGTAGAGCAAGAGCGAGTGTGCGTCTGCAGCCCATGCAGAAACCGCGTCCAATGCCCTCGTGCCCTCATCTAGCAGCTGGTGGGCGACCCTTGAAGCACAAGCTGCTGTCTTGTCAAAATGGCCTGTGATTGCTCCAGCGTGATGGTCTGCAGCAACTCGAAGAGGCACCATGACCTTCCATGGGCTAAAACATGGCCAATCTATTGGCAAGCTTCTGGCGATGTGGCTCAAGCCTGGTGGCAGCTCTGACGAGCTCGGAATTGTACGTTGTACTGAACTATGTCGATTGTCCAGAAATACGTGCCGAGTAGCGTGGCGCATCTTGTTTAGCATCGTGTGTGCATGCACGGTTCTGTCTGAAGAGCTGTTCTTCTGTCAGCGAGGTCACAGACATCTCTAGCATCGACGAGCGACCCTGCAAAGAAGGCCATAGCACTGCCTTGAAGTATGCACTGTGTGACCAAGTCTAAGCGACCACCCGCGCAGAGTCCGGAGCAACACGACCAGGTGTATTACATCCGACACTTCGACAAAACACACAGGTCTATCGACACGCACCCCGCAAGGGCCAACATGCATACGCTCCGTAGACTCGAACAGTCGAGTTGCTGCTGTTAGTGGTTACGACGCACATTCGGAGAGAGTTGACTGACATGCTCGGCAATGTACGGGATCTGATGAATCAAGGTGGACACAGCAGATGATCGCGACAGAGCCTACGTGGCGAAAGCCCGAGAGGGGTGTGTGTGTGTGTGCGCGTCTATCTGCCTTTGAGGGGAGGGTGTCCGGATGTTGGTGTTCGAGCGTGCTGGGTCGTGGCTGGTGCATGACCGCCTTGCGGCATTGTGCAGTTTTTTCGCACCGGTCGGCATGTCCAGATGTCAAAACACACAACTTGATCCGGGTCAAGCCTTTTCAGCGGCATCGCCATCTCGTCTAGGATCATGCAGGTTCCTGGCAGGTAGCGATGCCACTCAGAATGAACACGCTATTCGTGGGGGCGTGGATGGGGAAACCAGCACTCTCCGAAGATGATGTCATTGCGAGAAGCCTGAACAAGTACTTGTACTATTCCTTGGGGTACTGTTATGATGTTATGATGCCAGTATGATGCCTTAACTGAAATATCTAAAGCCTACAGCCTGAAGCCTAAACCCTAAGCCCGAGCTGCGAAATACTCGTATCTGCAGAACAACACAAAAATCCTGCTCTCCAGAACCACCCAAGCTAGAAGTAAGACATGCGTGCGGCTGAAACTGGCCTCTGCAGATGCCACTATGCAGGGCCAGATAGAACGAAGACTCCTTATGGGATGTGCCCAGCTCCTTCGCACCGAAATCGAGAGGGAGAGAGTATGCGCGCTGTCCAAAATTCCAGTGGTCAGTGCTCCTCGGTAATCTGGTACTGGTTGTTTGAGAACGTACCTCAGCCCAGTCTTGCTTCCATTTTTGATTTCTGCAGTTCCGAAATCTCAGGACTGAACGCTGAGCTTCCCACATATCCAGTAGCTGGTGGCTCCCCATACAGCCGGATCAAGTGTTTCACAAACAGCTTTTGCATGGCGTTGCAGAGCCAGGCAATAAACTTGGAAGCGTGTTCCCCACCAGTGGCTCACCTGTTGGACAACTGACTCGCACAACGGCGATGCTGCGAAGAGCAACAGAGCTGAAACGAGGAAGCCTTCACTCTGCACACGAATTCTGCGCTCTGTCTGCCCAGCTAACTCCATTGCATCAGAGAATCAAACCACTGCACCTGTTGCGGGCCGACCTTGGCTGGCATGAACGGCAACACGGCAAGTTTGCACTCGTGTTACTTCAACGATATTGTCCGACAAGTCCTTGCGGAACGAGGAGATGATTGGTGCGAAAGGCTTCAACGGTGGAGCTTCTGATGATGAATGCCGGTGCTGCTGCTGGTGCTGCTGCGGACGAACATGACAACTCGAAGCCTGACTTGGAAACGCCGAAACTTAAGCACTCCCTGAACCTGCCCAAAGAACCGCACACAAAAGAGCCAACAGAACAAACGCTAATGAGTAGGTGTACATCATGGCTTTGATTGCATCGCAAACGCACCGACAAAGCGAAGTTACCAGTATGGCGAAGTCGTACTACCAGGAATCCTAAATCTCTATTAATTATATACATAGACATATACACACCCATATTATACTATACATCTAGCTGCCAGAATGCAGCTCCTTTTCGAGAACAACCGGAACATGCGCAAAAATTGGCGGCATTCCCAGCAAGATACGCCGGGGCCGTGGCCGTGGCCGAAGGAGCGATTCGGCAGAGTTGCAAACGAACATGTCGTTATCGGTATTTAAACTAGTAAAACTAACGATATTTGTAGTAAGATGAGTAGTATTAAGAATACTGGAAATACCAACAGTAACAGAAATATTGTTAATAATAGTAACAACATGTAAAAATGCACCTACTAGCAGATTGGATTGCGTAGACCCACTTGCCTCAGGGAAGTCAGAAGATTAGAGACAGCAGAAACAGCAAGGCCAACCGTATGCCCTTTGTTCACAGTCCGGCCACGAGCTCCGCATAGGAGAGCTTCCGGGTGGATGTCAGGCGTCTCAGGATGTTGGGGTCGATGTAATACATGTTTCCTGAAGACAAATCGTAAGAGTTGGGCATCTGCTTTTGTGAGTTGAATGGGGTACAAGCAATTTTCCAGATGCCTCCAGCACAAGTTTTGGGGCAAGTGCTACAGAAACAGTATAGTCAAACAGTGATGCCCTGTACACAGAGCTGTGCAACTTGTGAAGTTGACGATATCTCGAACTTCGGCTCTGACAGATCAGTCCGAAGAACCTCATCCTCACAATCAATTATTCGGGCCCGTACTCAGCACATGTTCTCACTGCGCCCCTCATGAATTTGCCTGCTGCGGACCCGTCCAACGCTACACCAAAGATCTCTGCCAGAAACGCTGCTCAGCTACTCAGGCATGCTTCCGAAGCACTATAAGCATGGCCAAGGTATCATCTGCTCTCGTGAGAGAGAGGATGTAAAGCGCTCGAAACTACGACGGTCATGAGCTGGTTAACGAAGGAGCAGTCTTCTTCTTGCTGCACTGTTGGTGAGTAATTAACTATGGAGGTTCATGTTGAGTGCAAGCATATTCACAGCCAGATGAAGCAACCTGCTGCGCGCAACAACCAGAAGCATGACTGGCCAAGCCGTGGTGCTTCAAAAACGCTTCTCATGACACCCTAGTTTAAGCAGAAACATATTGTGGATTCGAGGACCTAGCCAGGGACCACTGAGTTGCAATCATGTGGCTGTCTTTAATGAATGCCGCGAACTTCTCGTAAAGCTCCTTACCCCGAAGCAGGCAAGCACTGGACCGCGAGCATGCTCTTTTGCACTGTACTGGAACGCTTGCATGGTCCATGTTACGCATCCTCACCCTTGCCCTGTAGGCTCTGCTTTTGAAGATGCACGCCTTACAAGCCAAGCTTCCAAGACATCTCTTACCTGGGCAGACTGTCAGATCGCAGTTCGTTCCACCCATTGTGCAGCTGAAAACATGGCCATTGTGGCAGAAAAAACCAGTGGAAGCACGCTGAGCACAAGAGCAAACCTCCTGAAGGACACTTCCGAAAAAACTTGCTTCCGCTGTGACTCCTGTATCCACCCCATTGTAGGACGAGTGACCGCAATGGCACGATCAGGGCCCTTTTTGCAGGCTTTGGGATGTGGGTTCCGCTTCTTGAGCTCCTTTGAGAACATTTCCAACCGTCTCGCCAACCTTTCTTGCACTGTTGGTGTGGATTTAGCAGAAAAATAAATCCAACATCCTACTCATCTTTGTGGAGGCCCTGCTCCCACTTCGAAGCTGAAGTTCCTCCAAGCCGCGAGCTAGATGTCCGCAGCACAAAGAACCAAACGCAAGTAAGCATCCCAGCCAGAAGAAGAGGGATCAGGATCACCTGATCAAAGCAAGCCTGGCCTGGCTTATCCTTACTCGTGTCACAGAGTGATCCTTCTTTACCTTTCCATCATAAAGCATCGCGACCATCATTATCAGCACCACCACCGTCATCAGCACCATCGCCAACTGCGACTCCAAGCAGCAATGACAACCTCCACTGGACCGGGCATCAAGTAGAGGCCTTAGACATGCTGTGAATATGTTTGCGCCGCTACACCTGGTGCTGGCCATACCGGCGTATGCAGGGGGCCGTGGCAGCTGACAAGTAACAGCATCCCAATCAGCTGAAGCTGAGAAACCCAGAGCAGCCCAGCCAGCGGAAAGGAGAAGGATCTGGGCAAGAAGCGGGAATCGCACCTTAACTGTGTCTATAAATTTGAAGCTGGCAGCAGCTTCATATAACAAGCTGATGCCTGTATGTTGGGGCAAGGTGCCGCCAAGATGGTCGAATGTAGCAAGGCTCGTGGCAGCGAAATCTGCAACAGGCCTTAACTGCATGTTAGCAAGAAATCTTTTGACGTGGTCATTACTCCCAGGGCAGCCGCCCTGCCCTGAGTTAGGGTTTAGAGGTTATCGGTTTAGGGTTTAGGGGACTAATGGCTTGCAGTGAAACAAACAGCAGATTTGCTCGGAAAGCCACGGATTTGATTCCACACCTCCGGGGCTTGATCCAGGCTGATGGGAAGGGAACCAAATCAAGACATGAGCGGTGAATGTTGACATTGTGATCGCTGTAGAAGATTCGCATCTCCAGTCAGGAAGATCAAAGAAACAAGAGAAGAGCAAGAAGAGGCGTCCGAGCGCTTGTATCGCAATATTTCTAAACCCTAAACCCCACTGACAGCATGGGGAAATGCGAGCAGAAAGTCTTGACAGTCACTGCCGGTCGCAGACATGCAAAGCTATCATGCGAGAAGAGTTCAATAAATATGGAGCCATAATGGGCCCTCAAGATATCAAACAGCCATCGTCCGAAGACCACCTTTTGCCCTTCTTCGCTCATCCCAGCCGTTCGACCAATGTCCCGTATGAGCCCGTGTGTGTGGCTAAATTCTCTGATAGAATTAGCCGCGCTAGCTCGCATCCAGTGGAATCCTAGCTGTGCGACACAATATGAACAGAAGCAGCTGTACTTTGGGACTACGTAAGGCAGAAACTGGCAGCCCCAGCACTGTTTGGGCTAGTCGCCCATGGAGCTGTCGGCACGGAAGTCGAGGGAGTTCCCTTCTGCATCGAGCAACTCCAAGGTGTTCGAACTGCGTGGCCGGACGCGGAATGGGATGCTCTTTGAACCCCGGGAGTCCAAGAGGAAATGCCCGGTGCCCGAGAGGGTCACGGGGATGGACTGCATCTTATTGAAGACGGTGAGGTTATGATACCCTACCACAGTCACCAGCACGGTGTCAGACTCCCGCGAAACGTCCTCGATGAGTCTCGGCACGCCGTGTACGAACCCGGTCCTCTCGAAATGTGAAGCTTTCTATGGACGAGCGGCTTTTCAAGAATGTGAAGGTTAACAAAGACGGGCTTGACCCGTGACAGATGCCCTGTCCTGCCAAATCGGAGGCTGGTCATGCAGGCGAGGAACAACCTGAAACTACGCGTGTGAAGTATGAGATCGACTGGTCAGAATCGTACTGATAACCGTACCTTCGACTATGAAGACTTTGCTAGGCGTTCGTCCTCGCTTTGGCCTGAGAAGACCGCCGGGCAGCAACAATCCGACCAAATACCACAGTATAGTCAGCGAGAAAAGGCCGCCATCGAGGACGCACTGCATTCCATCCCAGCCTCCAGCAGTCTGAAACATCATGGGGCATAGCTCGCAGATGCCATCTTGGTCTCTGTCGACAAAACGACGTGAACATAGGAATCTCACACTTCCAATCTCGGCTCGGAACCTGAACATGTGCGGTCTCTCCAACATGATAGGGTTTAGGGCTTAGGGTTTTGAAAAACGTGATGAACGGATAAAGACGAAAGAAGCCGAGAGACTCACTCGCCGCGTCGCAGTAGTGGCCACGCGCCGGAGCCAGCTGACACCAGCAAACCTTATAGGCCCTGGCAAGCAAGCCATTTTCAGCTGATAACACGCCAAAATCCAACTCTTTGTCCACTTCATTGTAGATGGTACTGACATTCAAACCTGGTGGGGCTTCCTCTCCGCATTCCGGAAGCACCATTGCGCGATCCCCTGCTTCTAAGCCAGTACCATAGACTTCCTTGCAGACCAAGCTCCGACAAGAGGATATCACATGTTATTATAAATATGCTGGCTCAACAAATGCTAGAGGCTGTCATGTGATAGTCACCGCTCGCAGGCGCATCGACAAAAAAAAAGAGACTGTTCTTCTTTCTGAATTGGGCCCGGCAGCTGTAACCTTGAAAGTTCCCCAGCCTCCTCCAAGTTCGTAGGGATCCATCACGGCCCGTATGTTCGGCCCTCTGTAGACGAAATTTCCGGCAGAAACGGAAAAGTCTCCATTTACGGTGCAATTCCGCTCAGCAGTCTCGCGGCACCAGCACATACGATACATTCCCACTACAGTCGGCCGCATTGCTTCAAAGCTCTCCATTCGATAGACGCCGTCGGCGCCGTAGACGGCATGCGAGCCCATCGCCAGTTCAAACGGTGTGGTTTTCGTGTCGTCACAAGACTTCAGGACTCGGAGGTGGTCGGCACCAACCTCGCGAGAGAATCAGAAGTTGTTCTCAGGACTGTTCCGTGCATACAAAGCGAAGCCTCACTTGGGAAGGGGGCTTGGCCTACTTCGCTTGGTAGGATTTGCCAAACCCAACCGATGCAGCACTCGAATCAGCAACGGCTGTTGCGGAAACAGCACCTTGTAGCCGATTCCAAGAAGATCTGGGACGTCGCAAGTTGCCCAGCTCTTAACGCAAGAAGCCGTGTTTTCAGAATACCTGGGCTGCTGGTCAGAAAGTTTCGACGAGAGCTGGTCCACAGGAGCTAAAAAAAGGGAGAAACACTAGCGCAAGCAAGTTTATCTACCAGAGTGAGCAACAGTACCGTTCCCAAACAGGCACAGGGTACGGGCCGTGGAGCTCCATCGTAGCAACATGCGTCACATCTCCTCCAGCGATACCTTCAGTGCAACAGTTGGAGCACCCGGTCAACACTCGAATTGCAGCGCGGTGCTACAAGTGGCAGGTAGAAATCAATACATCATAATACACTCTAATATACTTATAGTACACCATTGTGGACCATAATATACTATAATAAATCATAATAGACTCACAGTACACCAGAGCATACCATGATAAACTATAATATACCATAATAGACTTGTAGTACACCGTTGTAGATCATATTATACTATAATATGCCATAATAGACTCACAGTACACCAGAGCATACCTGGAAAAACTATAATATAATATACCGTCATAGACTTATTGCACACCATTGTAGACCATAATATATACCATAATATATCATAATGGAATTATAGTACACCATGGTATACCAGAATCTCCTATAGGATGCTTATAGTAGTCCAATGCCGTTCTGGGCATCCTAGGCTTCTGCACTGTCCGCCAAGGCTCCATGACATTTGCAAATAATCTTGTCACCCGGTTGCCAATCGCGCATTGCCTTTCCCAGATTGATGAAGGTTTCTTCAGCATTGCCGTAAGATGCATAAGACATCTGCTGGGTCGAGTTTACCGTGAGATTGCAGATTTGCGGACACTTGTAGTCCGACTCTTTGGCATCGAGAATAAGTCCCACTTCTCCGCCCACAATTGACGTCTTAGAAACGTCCAGAAGACAATCTAAGCCTCTGGTGCAGTTCAGCCCTAGCTCTTCCATAAGATTGACATCGTTGATAATCATGCTTTGGAGCATGCTGGTTTCCGGCAGCGTTGCTGTGCTGTTGTCAGACAGCGAGGCTTTCAAGCACACTCTTTCCTCCGGTTCTTCCTCTGCATCCGGGTTTATCAGGAAGAGCAGTGTATTGTTGCTCGAGTTAGTGCCAATGCAGCAGTCGGGCCACACCAGGTCAATGGCAGCTTGAAACCCCAAGTTCCGGAGTACGCACTTCTTGCCTGTCTCACCATCTTCCCACACCAGGGGGCCAGTAAGAGGCAAACTCCAATAGTCATTGGCGTCTGCGCGATTACGCTCTGGAACCATCTCTGGGCAAACTGTGTACTCAACAGTGAGCTCTGTTCTTCCACTGGCTACTGCACCCGAGCGCTCAGCCCACATAAGGCACTCCATGTTCCCAAAACGCTCATCCAGAACAATCGCCGTGGGTGAGATCTCAACGGTCCCGCCATCGTTGTCGTCCCGGATATATGCCTGTGCGACTGCTTGCGCATGCAGCTAGGGCTAGGTTCATACCACGACCACCAAGGAAGCATCCCTTGTAGGCTCAACACTTCCGCATGAAATTGAAGGCATGCGGGGTTGCTATGCAGACATTGGCCGTATCCCCGAGGCTCCCTGCTTGAGCTGTGGCTGTGGCTTGCTCTGCACAAGATTGGGGAGATTGATATAATATGATATAATATAGTATGATATGATATGATATTATATTACAAACCGAAGCCATGAGTCTGTTGTCTCGGAAGTGGAGCTGGCACTGGCCGGGTCTGCATCGATCCCGAGATTCACAACCTGAGTCCGCACCGATGCGAGGCTTGTCGTAGCTTGAAAAGAACATTCCAGCGATGGCGAAGGTGAACAGTCCCACTCATCGCTTCAGATTCAACCCTTTCGAATCATTAGATAGTCGTACACCACACTGCGGAAGCTTCTGCCAAAGAACGGCGGCGCTGCATGAATATGAAACAATGACAGGATTCTCTCACCGGGCGTACTAGGGCCTACCGCAGCTAAAGATAATGAAGGTCATGTCAAGCCAAATCGAGCCGCAATCAATACTGCTTGAAAGAACTATGGCGGGTTCTGCTGTGAAAATCAAGTTCGGCTTGGAATTCCAAGGACGAGTTTGGAAACTTTGATATCAGGGATCAGATCACAATCGTAATCTGTTGAAGCTTGAAGTGAATGCGCTTCGACGGCCCGATTCATCAGCTGTCGGATGTGGGGTTGGTACAAGTACGACGTTTCGCAGTGTTTCGCTAGGATTCCCTGCAAATTTGATACAGAATCGCGTCCAGTTTCAGATTGTTGTGACCTCATGCACATTCGTCTCAGACAACCTTGGGCGTTGATAATGGCTTGGGCCTGAGGCATCAGGAGAGTGGCACGCGGAAACAGCCTGAAAAATCTAGATATTTCTAGCTATATCTCGCCGCAGGTAGTCTTAACCACAGCCCCGCAGCTTTTGTGGGCTCGTAGACGTCATTGTTGTATATCACCATCAGCATCGCCTTCGGATCCACATCGCCATCCTGCCACGTCACGGAGTCCTGGTAAAAGTCGAAGTCGACTCCTCTGGAACGTCGGACACGGCCATTACCCGAAATGCTCTGTTTGGATATCAGTCTGGCCGGTAGCGAACTCCGTACACCGGACAAGCGGATCTCCACTAGCCCTTTCCGGACGTCTCCACCCCCCGCCCCCCCCTGCCTTGGACACCACTACGGCTACGGTGTCGCGGCAGGCTCGGTGGTGCGCTGTCGGTGCTGTGCAGGCGCAGCGCGCACACGGGGAGCTTGGCGGGCGCGGCGCCCGCGGAAGCTCGCGGCGCTGGGGGAGCGCGGTGGGCTGATAGTCAACACTGCAATGGAACGAAACACCTATGAACAGGCATACTGTCGCCCCACCCACATCAAACACGCGAGAATGTTACTGAGTCAGAATGCACAGAACGAACGGTTTTGTAGTATATTTGCTGACAGGCTCACCCGCAATGCAACACACTGATGCGTATGTCCACTTTAATGCTGCGACTGTCTGAGCGCCGAGCCTTCGGTTGCATTCGTGCCCGGGAGTATCTTGAGCCTTGCGGTGATCGTCCCGTTACTTCCAAACGATCGGCCCAAGCCAACATAGTCGTAGTTGCAGCACCGGAAATTGTAGAGGAATTGGCATCCCTCTAATGCATCCACTTGCCGCGGCAGGAACCTGACAGTGCAGGTCGAGCATGCACCGAGAACAGGACTACTGCAGACATCCCGCTGCAAGAAGCCAAGTCTCCCTATCTCACCCGTTTGAGCAAGTGCGCTGGGTAGAATCAGGCACAAGCGCCACAAGCTCACTGGCAGCATGGCTCTGCTTGGCTGCCCTGTATAAGCTGTGATGAACAGTTACTAACAGTTTGTTCTGTGCTTGGATTGCTCTCCACGCTCGAGTCGGTTTAGTCCAATCCCCACGATGGACCGTTTGCCATCTCACCCCGCCCTCAACAAGGTCGGCTACAGCCTATCTTCAGGATATGAAAGAAGCTTCGGGCACCACGTGTTGGGCCTTTGCCGGCTTGGGGAGGTTTCCCTTTTCGGAGTTTTAATTGTAGGGAGTCACTATCACCTGCTTTTCTCCCCGGAGGTGCGCACCTGCAAGAAACATGTAAGTAAGATCTGTAACGGAGCTTTGTGCCCCGAGCATGCGAGCTGTATAGAGTCTGGACCAAATGTCGGGCGGGTTGCTCGTGAAATTGAGGCTGATACATCAGAGAGCATCAGAGAGCACGTTCTCCTTGCCGTTCCCTCTTACACACCCGAGAGCTTCAGCACTGCTGCCAGAAACCACCTCTTCGCTGCCTTGCACTGCTACCATTACCGTGCAATCATCATCGCTTGCGTAAAACCAATGGCTCTGAAAGTCAAAAGGGCTCGACTAAATCGAGCACATGCATCAGTGGGTGGCTGCCCAAAGAACTGTGGCTCTAGATGCCGTTATTTCCGAAGATGCGCACAAACAGGGATACTTGAGACTGCAGACACCACCTGGGTGGAAGGTCGAAAACCAAAGGGAAGCGAGTGGCCTTTGAATCTCGTTGGTAAGGCCGTTGCTTGTGAACTGAGTCTATTCCATCCGTCCCCGTGGCGATGGAAGTCACCGGCGGTGCGGCAGGTATCTGCACAGCTGGATGTTTTTGAAGGTGTGTTCAGTTTCCGAGCTTTCAGAATTCAGAACACCGGCAAGATGCCGCGGCCTGGGTTTGACTTGCCGCAGATGCCATCACCTGGCGTGTCAGAATATGTCAGAATATTCAATAATTAATTATTATTATGTGATTATTACTTCAATAATAATATTGTTATTGCTACTATTAAACTTGTGCCAGGGCCCAGCATGAAACCAGGCCAGCTGCTCAGGCTGGACGCTGCACTGTGTGCCGAATTCGGCTGTACTGCAGGATCCTGCGGCGTTGGCGGGTGCGGGGCAAGCGGTCGAAAGATTTGAAGATTTGTCCGTCTTGCCACTTCCAACAAAATCTGCTATGTACAGCATCTGCACAGGCAACACTTCTGTCGCAACGAAGGCTTCAGCAGCGGCAAAGCGTGCAGAGCCGTCCTCCAGAGTCACCTATCATGTGCTCGGCCTGGACGTGTTCTGCGAAGTTGATGATCGAGTGTGTGCGTTGTGCACTCTCCAACGACAAAATGTGTCCGACATTGACATTCCACACCGAATCAATCAGAATTCTCGTCCGCAAGCAAGTCGGCAGCACAGTGAACAAGATGCCTAGTTGTGCGAGCAGCTTCGCAAGAGAAGCGCTGTCCCCGCGAAGCGCTATGATAATTCTGTTTTCCTCTGCTCGTTATCTGTACTACCGAGCTTCCTGAAACCTCATGTCGCCCGTCGAAAATGAAGCAAAGATCAAGCTGTGGTCGTAGAGGAGTTTTGGAACACATTTCACTCTGCAGGGATGGCCGCAAGTAGTTCACACCTAGAATGGCTTCGACTGACCCATCATGCTGAAAGCCTGCTTGGAGCCAACCAAGGTGCAAAAGCCACGATAGAAGTTGCAGAAAAGCGGAATGACACCCTGTAATGAACGGGTGTTGAAGCTTGCCCGTTATGTACGTACTGTTGCTTATTCTTGTTCTACATTATTGCCTTCGTTTTTTGCTGCTTCTGGGCTTCGTGGCTACGGACTTACATTCTCGAAAACAGAACCCTGATCCATGCTACTGGTAGCCCGTACCAGTCCTCACAATACCCCCCCAAAAAAACACCTTTCAGCCAATCCTGAGAGAGTCCTTGCATGTCCTTGCCAGGGACATAAGGCTCCCGCTCTCACGAGGTGTCCGTTGTAAAGCTTTGAAGCTGCTCTCTCTTTCTTTCGCCAGGGC